CCACTGAGCTACACCCTGATCCCTTTCAATTTTTGCCCACTCAGAAACCATTTCCCCTATCTCTTGTTCCTTTGGAAGTCTTTTAGGAAATAACTTCTTGAAGTCTCTAAATACATGTGGCCCAGGGGTGACACAACTCTATCTCTATGACTCAGGTATGGCCATCATTTTGACCACAAAAATGTAACTAGGAATAAGGCCATGATGCAATCAAAGTTCATCTTAGAACTTTCGCTGGAGCTATCAGGAAAAAGGAACTACTTCTTCTCTAATTGGTTTATCAGCAGAAGAATCTAACTGAAACAGCCAAGCCCCAGGAAGAGTCAAGAGATTCTTAAGCTAATAAGAGGTCTAGAGACACTCCTGACACCCTGAATCCACCTATGTCTAGGGCCATATCAATTCTTGAACTTACTAAGTATGAGAGTCCATAAGTGTTCTCTCCCTCAGTTTTGTCTGTTTTTGCCAATTTTAATTATATATTTTTTACTTGCTATTGTAAGATTTTTGTCTTGCACACAAAAATGAAAAAATATTATGATGCAATGTGTATATGTACCAGCTCCCCAAGATGAATGTATTAGGTTTTGCAAACATGTACTAATAACAAAAAAGAAATGAGGTCACATGTAATTCCTGTGTGTAGCTCTTCTTCCTTTTCCTTATTTCCAAACCTCAAACTTAACACAAAATGCTAAAGCCTTAGCAGAAAGCCAGTGAATAATACCAGAAATATGCTCTCAGGATGTGTCCATAAACTGCTGCCTTATCTATTTATACAGGACTTATTTATCTATACCATTCTCTCACTCCACTGCCTCCATAGACAGATGCTGATCATAGATGGAATGCATATAGTTTCTTCCAGCCCTGAGATTTAAGATTCCATTAAGCCTTGATTGCCTCACCTGGAAAGCGCGAGTTAGTATGTCTCACAGAATTCTCGAAAGGAGGCATGCAGCAAAAGAATACTTTTCAAAGGATTCTTTAAAAAGTATCCTACATCAAGGAAGTAGAAATAGCAAACAAACATATGAAAAAATGTTCAACATCACTGGTCATTCAAGAGATGCAAATAAAACAAGGCTGAGATTCCACCTCACCCTAGGAAGAATGGCTGCTATCATGAAATTAACCAATAACAAATGCTGGTGGGGCTGTGGAGAAACAGGAACCCCGCTCCACTGCTGGTGGGAGTGTAGACTGTGGAAATCAGTATGGATACCTCAAAGAACTAGGATTGGAAGTCCCATTTGACCCAGCTATTCCCCTGCTGAGTATCTTCCCCAAAGAAATAAAAGAATCACACCACAGTGATATATGCGCACCCATGTTCATAGCAGCACAATTTGTAATAGCTAAAACTTGGAAACAGCCCAATTGCCCCTCAACTGGAGACTGGATAAAGAAAATGTGGGGTTTTTTATGAAATGGAGTACTACTCAGCAATAAAAAATGAGAAATTAGAGGCATTTATAGCTAAGTGGATGCACACTGAGGTGATACTCTTCAGTGAAATAAATAAGACACACGTGTAAATACTGAATAGTTTCTCTAGTGTGAGAAACTGAAAGTGTAAATAAGGACTAAAAGGTATAATAGATAATGTGAAATAGGAAGAAAAGGGGCAAAGGGGAAGGGGAAGTTGGGGGGGTAGGGAAAAGGAAAGGAGGGAATGGAATTAATATGAGAAAATGAAAAAATGGAAACAATCTTTGTAAATAGGGAGGAATGGAGGGGTTGAAGGGAGGGCAGGGGAAGGGGGAAAATAAGAACCAAGAGAGATTATGTAAAGGTGCAAATTTCCAATGATGAACGTCATTATATTGTATACCTAAAATGTACCAATAAAATATTTTTTTAAAAAGTATCTGACATGCTTTATTCCCTAGATATTTTTTTCAACATTGTGTCTATCAAAAAAAGTCAACAGATCATTCAAAGAACTATTGCAGAATACCTAAAATATGTAAGGCACTTGGGGAATATAGATACTAAAAGAGATATAAAAATGTTTCTGATGTACAATGAGATCTAAAAAATAGTACACTAAACAAAATAGACAAGTTGCCATCAAACAACTACCAAAATGCTATGGGAACTTGGAGGAAGAAAGGTTTCATGGAAGAGATGGTAATCATTACTGCCTTTATGCCAAAGGAAACTCTACCTGATCAGAAACATCCTCTGACAGAAAACCATGACTGATTTTATTTATGCATTCAGACATACCATCACATGATCCTAAATATCTTTTAGCATCATGTGATCCTAAACATCTTTTTAAACAACTCTTAAAGATTCAGGGAGACTAAAACATTTCTCCGCCTTGTAACAAAGTAATAAGTATTATAGAAAACCATGAGGACAATTCTCTCAATGAGAATTACATTTTTTAACCAGATGAAATTTAAGTCAAATTTTAAACTATATATATTGTTTTCTAGACAATTTTTATTTCCAAAACTTTTCAGTGAACCATAAATTCTTTGAGAGTAAAGCCCAGTATTATTTACATCTGTCCCTCTCCCTGCCAAATGCTCATTAGATGAAAATACAAAAAAAAGATTCACACCTAAAAAGTGTGACACTGATAATTGTGAAAAACGTCATTCCCAGAAGTCTTTAAATCATGTACATTTCCCAGAACACACAAATCACTCCCCTACAATGAGGTCTGTACCGAAGCTGTTCTTCTTGCAACATACTTCAATATGACCTTCCATTTCTAGCTCCTGAAAATGTCTCCTCCAAAGCCTAGCTCAAATGTGACCTTTTCTTTGAGGCACTTCCTGACATGTACAGAAAAAATGAATCCTTTGGGCTGGGGATTTAGCTCAGTGGTTTCTCCGCCTGCTGCGCAAGCGCAAAGACCTGAGTTCAATCCCTGGTACCAAAAAAAAAAAAAAAAAGAATGAATCCTTTATGTCCTCTGTACATACTCCTCCTATAGTCTTGTCACTGTAGAAAAATGATGCTATAGTGACTGTAAATGGGGGGGAGGGAAGAAGTGAGACAGATAGACAGACAGACCGAGGGGCAGAGACTAACAGAATGTAAATGCTGTAAGGGTAGAGCATAGGTCTTTTCCCTTTCTGTATGCCCAGCACGCGCACACACACACACACACACACACACACACACAAGCAGTCTTATTTGTGTGCCAGATAAACATTTTGAAAGAAACCAAATAATCAGAAAACCAAGAAAAAAATAGAATATCTGTCAAAATTAGGCCAGAGTTATCTGCACATGAACTAAAACATTTGAAACCAAAGAAAACAAAGATGAACTGCTTCCTATGAAGTCAGTGGCCTTGATAACAATACTACTTTAGATTCAATCATTAGCTTAAGTCTTTGATGGTCTGTGTGCTGTATTCTCAACAACTACTAACTTATTAATAGTTTGGAGGTAATATAGTTTGGCCAGAAGGTAAAATAGTTTGGCCAGGAGACTGCCCAAAGATGACCCATACAATATCCAGTCAGGGCACAAAACCACTCTACAGGAAGAAAAAATGTGTATCTTGCAAATATAATTTAAAAGATGACAGTAACCCACATCCCATTCTGGAACCTATAGGAAGATGGAGTATTCAGAAATGAGGAATATTAAGTGCTGGCCAGAAGGTTCTACATGAAATTTTGGGACAGACCAATGTATAGGCAAATAAGCCACCTGTCTTGATGGTCACAAAGTAGATAAACAGATACAGGAGCTTCTTCCGTAGAAAGAGGGAAATATTATCAGTTATCATGCAAGTTAGGAATTAAAATGAAGTATGGCCAGTACAAACTAAAAAAGTTATCAGGACTTATTATACAAAGACAAACACCAATAAGGTAGGCCATGTCCTCCTTTATTTAAAAAAAAATTTAAAACTGAAAAGTATACAAAATAGAGAAATAATGAGAAGCTCTGCTATCAACTTCCTACACTCTGTACCTCGGAGATTAAATCTCAGTCCTAACCTCCACCACCCTGACAGCCTAGTTGGGGAGAGAAATCCAGACAAGCAACTTTTATAATTGTGATATCAAGATAAACACACGCTATGGTGGCAGCATATGGAAATACTGAAGGGGAAGGAAGGGAAGGTGGTCAGGTAGACTTGCAGAGGGCATTACCTCTCACCTGTCCTGAATATTGGGCAGAATTAACCTAGAAAAGAACATGTGATGGCAAAAGGATAAGGTATACTAAGTATACAAGAAGCACTACTTTAGGAGTCTAGTTCTAGTTCCCTAAACTGTTCCCACAAATGCACCAATAAGTGAAGTAGCACTTGTTACTACTGATTGATTATATATAATATAATATATAATATATTATATAATATATTGTATTATATATAATATATTATATATTATATTATATATAATATAATATATAATATATTATATAATATATTGTATTATATATAATATATTATATATTATATTATATATAATATAATATATATATATTCTAGCACCTATCACAGCCAGACACGCTGCAAGAGATAAATGAAACCATGGAATAACACAACTACAGCTGGCTTAGTCCTTTCTTGTGAAGTGGAAAGAACGGCAGGAAATTACACAAGTCCTTGCCTTCAAAAAGCAGACTGTACTGGAAGAGACTACAATGTTGGCACTGGGATCTTCAGTTATTTCTTCAGTGAGTACAGGAGGAACTGAGGATTTTACCCACATCTGTCTGACTTAATTCTTAGATTCTCATGAAGAGCATGACGTGGAGGAAGGAGGAAGTAAAGGGTAACAGGTAAAAAAGAATGAACAATCGTCAAACCAGACTCTCAGAATTATGTGCACCCACAAGAGACAGCTTGTCTTCTGGAGGGGAGAAAGAACTCCAAACCAAAAGGAATCACCGGATGTGTGTCTTGGGTGTCGTTACAACCTTTACTGGGCTTCCTCCCAAGCCTAGCCTAGCCCTTTCCGATTCGTTCCGAAACCCAATACCCACCACCCGCCGCCGAGGAACGCGGGGCGCACCTTGGCGGGCGTGAGCGGCCGCTCTCCGGAGCCCGGGCCCAGGGTGTTCGCCTCGCGGGAGTATCTGTGCACGGCCGCCACGCTGCCCTGGGCCCCGGGCCGCTGGGCCGAGCCGCAGCCGCATGAGCCCGTGAGGGACGCCGCTCCCCCACCGGCCCCGGCCTCTTCGCTCCCCGCCGCCCCGCAAATCAGCAGGAGCAGCGGCAGCGAGACGACGGGACCGAGCCGGGCGCGGCGTCCACGGGCCGGCCCGAGCGCGGGCGCAGCCATGTTGTCCCGCGACCCATGTGATCCAGTGGGTCACGTGGCCCCGTCGTCCTTAAAGGAACGACCTGGCCGTTTTAAGAAATGCCTGGCCGGCTGGGAGAGTTGCTCTATTCAACTTTTTGTTTTTTTCTTCTCTGTACTGGAAATTGAACCCAAGTCCTTCACACTGAGCTGCATTCCCACGTCAACTCCCTTTTTTGATACAGGATCTCGCTAAGTCATTAAATTGCTCTGGGTGGGCTGGAATTTGCGATCTTCCTGCCTCAGCCTCCCACAGTGCTGGGATTGGCCATCGCGCCCAGCTCTCTTAACTTTTTTTCAGATGTCTCTTTAGAGCGCTCCTGCTAACGTCAAAATGCAGCCAACAACAGAACTTTATAATACTCGAAGCTCTCCGCAGACCACGCATGCCTTTATGTCTTAGATGAAAAAAATATTTACTGAGCATTTGCTAAGTGCCAGAGTACTACGATAAATAATCTTTTCATTTTTAAAATCTTATTGCTTCTCTGCCTTTTGGTTAAGATCAAGTGTAGTATCATTTTTAAAATTTCATTTAATCAATAATATTGGGAGCACAGAGCAAATGAGTTGACCAAGGTCACATGACAAGTATAAAAAAACAGGGGATCTAACTTGAAACCCTGAACTTCAACTTTTATGCTGTGCTGTAGGTAATTCAGTAAGTTTCCTCTAAGGAAACTGAAGTTGAAGAATACTTCCCAAAGAGATAGGGAAACCTAGATTGTGGGATAGCACAACAGGTTCTCAAAGTTTTGTCCCAGGCCAGCAGTATCAGCGTTTTACCTGCTAACCAGTCAGAAATGCAATACTGAGTTAGAATCTCTAGGAACAAGAGACAGCTGTTAAGAAGATTCTAAACCACATTAGCTTTAGAACAACTCTTCTGTGATTTCATAAGCAAAGTGCAAAACCCGAACAGCAAGAAGATAAAAGGGAATTTATAGATTATAGCAATAACCTGGCCTGGTGGTAAATGTCAGTACTTCCAGATACACTGTTGGATCACTAGAACAGAGGGGTTCTAGACCAGCCTGGGCTATAAAGTGATGTCCTAGTAAAAAGAAAAAGAAAAGAAAAAAAAAAGAGTAACCAGCTGCAATGTATGAACCCTCAACAATGATTCTCAGTGACTTTAAATTCTTCTGAGATACAGGTTGAGTATCTCTTATTTGAAGTGCTTAGAAAATCAAAAACGTTTCAGATTTCAGGGTTTTTTGGATTTTGGAGTACTTATATAAACTTTACATGTAGAGCATCCCTAATCAGAAAATCCAAAACTCAAAATGCTCCAAAAACCAAAAAACTTTAAGTATCATGTCAGCACTCAAAAAATTTCCAAATTTGAGAACATTTTGGATTTTTTTTTTTTTTTTTTTTTTGATACCAGGGATCAAACTTGGGTCCTTACACTTGCGGGGCAGGCGGTGGAACCACTGAGCTAAATCCCTGGCCTTAGGATTTAGGATTTTTATAATGCAATTCAACCTATAATCAGGGAAAATTGAACAATGAATGAAATTACTGTATGATATTTGACAAAACTAAAGATTCGTTTTAAATTTTGTTTTTAGGTTATTGATATCAATAATGGTGTTTGTGGCTGTAGTTTTTAAAATAATTCATATATATGTACATATATATGCTGTTATTTGTTTCCTAAAAAATGAGTCATGGAACTAATGGCTAAAGAGGATGCCAGACATGGTGGCACACACCTGTAATCTCAGCACTCAGGAAGCTGAGGCAGAAGGATCGCCATGAGTTTCAGACCACTGTGGGCTATCTTGTGAGTTTAAGGCCAGCCTAACTATATGATGAGAACCTGTCTCAAACAAAAATAATTGATGAAACATGACTGGCCATGAGTTGCTAATTGTTGTAGCTCATTTCTGGGTATCTGGGTGTTTATTGTTCTAGTCTCTCTTCCACTTTAACATATGTTTGGATTTTTTTAATATAAAGAAAAGTCCTTTTCTCCTTGTTGACTGTCTTACAGCAGTTTGCCAGGAAAGCTTTCACATGTTTTCTCATTTGAAGTTAAAAACAGCTGGTAAGGCACCTACTATTACTGTACCAATTTCACAATTGATGAGGCTACAAGGTCAACATCTGAACCAGTTTTGTATATTCACTGTGCACAACCTGTACTCCAGGGCCTCGGTTAAAGATCATCTTTGTTCAATTTTTTCAGAAGGTCAGTCTCAGCACATGCTGTCTTGGTTCATGGTCCTGCCACACCATCAGGCTACAAGCTCCATGAGGGTAAGGATCCTGCCTAATTGCTCACCACTGTATCAGCAAAATCAGGCAAAGCCCTGGCAAATGATAAACATTGCATGAACTTTTAATGAATTCATAGATATATGGATGAACGACAGTAATTGTTTGCCTCTTTCTCATATAATGAAATGAACTGCTGAGAAATTAATACACGTTTTAGCCTCAGAAAGAGAAGTGGTTAATCCTGGCCACTTTCAAGAGATATGACCCAGGAAAATTACTTCATCCTTTTAAGCCTCAGTTTCTTTGTGTGTGAAATAAGAGTAATAATACCTTCTCTTGTGTAGAGAGTGTAGCTCAATGATAGAGCCCTTACCTAGCACAGCAAAGGTCCTAGGTTTTATCACCAGCACTGCAAACAAACGTAAAACCTCCTTTTTAGAGATTTTATGAGAACTATGTAAGATAAAGTAAAAGGCTTAGTCTGGTGCCTGATATTTAACTTTTCTCAAAAAAAAGTTTGATATTTTTAATAATCACTAACAAAGATGCAACTTCGTGGGTTCTCCAGGAAGAACATTTTCCTCTCTTAATCTATGGTGAAAGAGAAGGAGGAGGAGGACAAGAAGGAGGAGGAGGAGGAAGAGGAGGAGAAAGAGGAGGAATAGAAATCCCTAGTTGAGCTAGACAAGGAGAACTATGCTAGAAATCAGCGATCAGCTCTGTACAAATTAGGGCAATTACCTAATTTTCCCACCTTCTATCGCTTTCTTAGGCCTTCAGCATTTTTGTGGCCTTCCCTGCCCCTTCTATCTAATGAAGATGGATGAAAGACCCTGGTCCCAAAAGTGCCTCTTGTGTTCCTGAACAGCACAGACCCCAGTGTGGTGACAGTGGAGTGAGCAAGGAGAAGAGTAGGAGAAAAGGTAACAGAGGGACAGATTATTTAGGATTTGGTAAACTTCACTCTAAGTAAAGTTCCACTGCATAGTATAGAGAAGACACCCAAAACTCTTCCTACTGAACAAGGTTAATTTCCTTACCTAGTTTGAGTTTCCTCTTCATGCCTGCTAGTCTTTGGACAAAAGGGAGCCCAAAGTGTCCTGATGTCAACCATGGCTTGTAATTCAATGAGACCCTTGCTGTGTCCACAGAAGGAGAGCACCCTGATACAGACCAAGACCTTCAACTCTACAGAGTTGCTGTGAAGGGGAGAACAAAGTTCCCAGTGGGTCAGTAGAAGTTCTAATAAGTGTGGCCACTTCTACTTTCACCCCTTGGTGGCTGAAACCATGTACATTTCCCACGTTGAGACACATATAGACTCCTCTGATTAGATTTATATACTGCATCCTTATCGGTGGCTCAATCCTTGCAGAGGATTACGTCTGCTACAGTTTGGATGTGGTTTGCCCCCCAAAGGTTCATGTGCTGGAAACTTGGTCACCAGTGTAGCAGGGTTGAAGTGGTGAAGCCAAGTGCAAGGTAATGAATCATCCCCCTCAGAAGATATTGATGCTAGTCTCTGGGGATGAATTAGTTTTCAGTGGATCAAGTTGCTATAAGCAAAGCCACACCACACAATTGGCTCCTTCTTCATGTAGCTGTTTTCCATCCCATCTCTCCATCGTATGCTGGTGCAGACCAGGAGGCCCTCACCAGAGGCTAAACAGATGGGACTTCCAGATAATGCACTTTCAGCCTGCAAAACTCTGAACCAAATAAACCTCTTTTTCTTTATTAAAAAAGCCAGAATTGGGCATTTTGTTATAGCCACAGAAAATAGCCTATGACAGCACCCAAGCTGGCATTTCAGCTGTGCCTGCAGTAAGGCCATTCCTACCCTTTATGAGGCCAGATGCTTTTGCTTGGTATTGGATGGGATTAGCCCATTGGATTCCATGATCATGGCCTGCCTCTGTACCTCCTTCACTGTGAGAAGGTTCCCTTGGCCAGATACTATCATTTGTGGAAATATATCCCTCTAGGTCAGGCATTCTGCAAGCTCTCCTACAGTTGTACTGGCTGAGGCTGTTGGGGAAAGAAAGACACAGCTTGAAACTACTCCTCAGTTCATGTACATTTGGTTAATAATATTGCTATGGACATTTATGTACAAATTTTTGTTCAGACATATGTTTTGCTTTTTCTTGAGTATTTACTAGGAGTAAGATTTCTGAGTCTTATAGTAACCTCTATGCTTAACCTTTTGAGGAACTACTTGCTAAAGCGGCTGCACCATTTTACACTTCAGCCAGTCACATATGTAGGGTTCAGTTTCTCCATGAAATAAATAATTTTTGCATCCTTTTTAGAGTAAAATCTTTCCTTTATCAGGCCCAGCATATCCTCAGCCAGGCTATACTAAGACTGTACCCTGTTTTTTACCTAGCAGCCACAAGAAGGTGTGGAGGCAGCTCCTGGGAGGGAGAAGGGCTGGAGGAAGTGGCAAACCTGTGGCTTTTCTGAGACCAAGGCCTCTTTACTATGCAGTATCTTCCTACATGGGGGAACTGCTGGTTCTCAGTAAGGAGCTCACCCCTGCCAATAACCTCTGGAGGCCCAAGGGAATCTGCAGAGCCACATTTCTCAGCAGTGTGCACCTAAATGCCCCTACCCTACTTTTCAAGCCCCAAACGTTTCTAACCACATCCCTGACTTTAGTCTAGGAGACCTACATCATCTGAGCATCTAAATACTGTGATGCTTTGAGTTGATCTACCTCAGCTAGGTTGGCTTCTGTAGGGTTGGAGATGAAGACCCCTTTGCGTATTACCAGAGAGGCTCTCTGTTTCTCATACTTAGTTTTTAGCTGTTTTTAATTGCCTCTCAGTTTTTCATTACCCCTGTGTAGAAGAGGTCAATGCAACTTGGTAATAAGCAGCCAATTCTGTTATTCTTGTATCCATTGTGTCTCCTCCATACTTTGCAAATTCCTGAGTCAATATCATGGCATACACATTCCCTTCCCCTTTGATATTGTCCCAGGTCACCATTGGTAAAAGTTTTTAGAAGTTAGGCTGCTACTTGTGCTGGGGCTATCTGTACCCCACATACCACTCAAGATGGGGTCCTCATCCCTAGCCACACAGTGGGCAACCCAGTTCCCAAACTCCATCTTACTGCTGGCTGTCTCTGACCACTCCCCCTACCAGCCGTGTTAGTGTGGTTCCTCTCCAGAGGAAATGCAAGAGATCTATTGGTGAATGAAGGGGAGCCAGGAGTGGATAAAAAACTCAAGGCTAGCCTGGGAAAATTGGTGAAATCTTACAATAAAAAAAATTAAAATTTAAAAATTTTAAATAAAATGGTTGAGATGTAGCTCAGTGGCAGAGCACTTGCCTACCATGCTCAAGACTCTGAGTTCTATCTCCAGCACCACAAAAACAGTGAATAAAACAGGTGAAAATTCATGTCTCTGTGAAACAGACAATAAATAACCTAAAACATGAAATACTTAGACCAGTGCTGGTGAACTTACAGCACACATGCCACAGACAGCTGTTTGTTATCACTGAAAACTAAAAGGTTCGCCATTAGACCATTGCTTAGTACAGAAGAATAGCTCAAGAATTATTAGCTATTATTATCAAATCATTTAATATCTAGGATAAACATTCCAATGTACTTTTAAAAACGGGACATTTTCCTCTATATTTAGACAGTAAAAGAGAGATGTCCAAATATTTAGAGGTAGGAAAATTTTGCCATGCAGTTCTTTCATTAGACTGTCTTTAGAATCCTTGTGTGATGAAATCAGTTGATTGGAAACCTTATTAATTTATGATATGATAGTCCTATATTAAATAAAATCCACAGAAATCTGCTAAAATGCTGTCCAAGTATTTTTAGAAAGATGCTAATATTCTGAGATTATAAACATATAAACATAAAATGGTGTCTTTCTTTTGAGGTATTTATGAGAACTCTAATTTCTTCAGTCTCTGACCAACAGAATATTCAAAGTTTTATTTCAAATAGAATAATGTGTTATATTTAACACAAACCAACTGTCATCCTTCAATCTAATATTAAATCATACTTTCTATATCCTAAAACTTAGACAATTTTTCCATATTTCAAAGTGTTCATAATATAGAGGAAAATTTAAGTCGTTTGATTTCCAAGGCTATAATTTTTGTTTTTCAATGTATTTTTAACTTTACAAAATACTGGATTTTATTTTATTCTTTAAAAAATTTTTTAAAAAATATTTGTTAGGGGCTGGGGATTTAGCTCAGTGTTTCTGGCACCTGCCTCACAAGTGCAAGGTCCTGAGTTCGATCCCCGGCACCAAAAAAAAAATATTTGTTAGTACACATTTGTGGTACATAATGATTACCTTTATTGTGAGGAGTTCATACATGTACATAATACATTGAATTATTTTTACTTCTCAATCCCTTCCCTTTCCTCCACCTGAGCCATAGTTTCTACATCTGTAAAACTGAGTTAATACTGAGAATGCACAAACTACCTAGCATGGTGCCAGACACATAGTAGGGGCTTAATACATGCTTGTTATTTGGACTTGAAGTCTTGTCCTTTTTTCTAAGCCCAGGAAGCCAAGAATCTGAAATGCCAGAGTGCACTGCAAATGGCAGGAACCCTCCCTGGCCTCCAGAATTTTCAACCCTCTTGGAAACCTGTCCATGGAATATTATCTGGTGCCATGCCTGATAAAAGGAAGAAAAAAATCCCAGATTTCTAGGAGTTTCTGAAGCAAGAATGTCCCTTTCCTATACCCAGGGCTATATTCTCCTTTCCTGGGCAGTTTTGACAAATGGACTTGAAGTCGAGTCCTAGCTTTTAGGCCTAGCAGTGTGACTTTGGGCAAATTGCTTAACCTCTCTAAATTTGCTTCTGTACTTGCAAAATGGGAAACAGTGTTTCTGTGAACATTAATGAGATTTTTCCTACAAAGAATACCAGGAAGATGGCAGGCTCTTCGTCAGTGTTTTGTGGAGTTTGAGGAGATAATGTGCATGCAGGCAACCAAGGCTAAGCAACCCAATTAGGTATGTATGTCTAAGTCAGTAAAGTTTTCTTTGGTAGCATTTTTTAAATTAAGAGATGAGGTCTCACTAGACCAGCCCTAAAGCTGGCTCAAGCAATCTTCCTTCTGCAGTCCCCTGAGTAGTGAGGAATATCTGTACATCACTGCACCCAGCTTAAAGTTCTTTTTGGATCTTTGGGGTTTTTTTCTTGTTTGTTTGCTTGCTTGCTTGCTTTTTATTTTTGATTTTTTGAGACAGGGTCTTGCTATGTAGTTCAGGCTGGCCTTGAGCTCACTATGTAGCCCAGGCTGGCCTCAAACTCATGACAATTCTCCTTCCTCAGCCTCCCAAATCTTGAGATTATAGACATGTGTACCATGCCCCACTCTTTGTTTTTTTGAGACAGGGTCTTGCTCTACAGTTCAAGCTAGCCTTGAACTCACTGTGTAGCCCAGGCTGGCTTCAAACTCAAGGTGTTCCTCCTACCTCAGCCTCCCATGTCCTGGAATTAACAGCATGTGCCACCATGCCCAGTTGATACCTCATTTTGAAAACCCCTCATACACCTACCTACAGGGAGTAATATAGTATTACAATCTTGCTTGTCTAAAAGATCAAATTTTCCATATTTTAGTTCCTCATATTATTCTTAAAATTTATATTGAACATTAAGTTTTTTAAAAATAATACATGTACATTAAAAATAAATGATATAGTACTAAAGAGTACAGAATGCAGACTAAACTTTTCTCCTATCCTAGCCAAAGTGTAGTATTTTCAAACAGGCATATCACATATTTTGATTATGTCTACCATATTTGATCATATCTATCATATTTTGATCATATTTACCCACCCTCTACCCTCCCTGAAGCCCTCTTCCCCCATCTTTATTCCCTTCCTCTTGTCTCCTTTTT